ATGACTAGATACCTGTGTACGGGATGGACGGGTAATAGTTGCAGGAAGAGGAACTGCCGAGGCAAGTTCCGAAGAACAAAACCCAAATAGTAGCGGTAGAACAGAAACAATTAAGCTGCTGCCCCTCGATGGGCTAGCGACTTTTTAATTTTGAATCTTTTAGCACCCCGAGACGGCTGCTTTCATGGCTTTCTGATTATTTCACCGAAAGAACCCAGTGCACAAAGCTGGGCAGGAATACCTCAAGTCCTCTAGTCAATAATTCTGGTGTGTTTCAGGGTGCTGTCCTCTCCGTATATTTTCTCTGCTTTCATTAGTGACCTTTCAGTTCCACATCCTGCTCATATCCAAAAGTATGCTGACGATGTCGTTTTATGTTAAACCATTTCCTCTTCGGAATTTTCCTCCACTGAAAATCTGTCCCGAATTGAACAGTTTTCAAACCAGTCTGGCCTTAATCGTAACACATCCAAGTGCTTGGAGTGCATTTATAGTTCTTCCCGCTCTACATTCCCGTCAGACTCGGTAACCCTTAATAGTAACCTTTTGTCTAGAGTGACTTCAGCCAAATATCTAGCTGTTACTATCGATAATAATCTTCGGCGGTCGACACATTCAGAACTGTATGGGAAACTTCGGCGCCTCTCTTTTCAGTTTCGGAAGTTAAGACAATTTCGCACTCTCCAACAAGTTTTGTTCTCTTTTGTTGAACAATGCGTCCTCCCTATTTTTCTTTACTGCTCCCCTGTAGTGTTTCCCGGTCTATAGAAGCAAGAATTTAAAACTGTCCGTCGTGGATTAATGCTAATCAACCGTGCACCTTTAATTTCTGCAGAGTCAATAATCACGGAACTTATAAATGGTCACATAAAGTCTTGTATAACCTTTGCCAATAAGATTCTAAACGATCCCGCCCATCCTTTGCATTTTGACTTATCTTCTCCCACTCGATCACTCGTTCCTCTTATCGGTACCCACCCACCCGAATAAGAATTTATAAAACTCCACTGTACCGTATCTGGCTCGCATCTTGACCAACAAAGAACGAATTATAAATGAATTACGTCAATCTTTAATTAAATGAATCAAACTTTGGAGATATTTTTTACACAGCTATCGAGTGAATTTGTTTATACTACTATATTTTCTCCGGTGTGACGACCAGCGTACAATTTTTAACTGAAATGTAAACATATCTCAGCTTGCAAAAGTTATACAAATACAAAAACTACTAGTGGACCAGCAATCCGGTTATAGCCCCGGATGTCGACTTTTCGTTCTCTCACTGTGGTGGGAAAACACCGCCGTGAGAAGGCAGTGAGTAGGGTTTCCTCAACAGAGGCTGTTTGAGACGCTTGGTCGTATGGGAGCATTTCGCCAAGTGCAAGGGGTAACCAGCTTCGACCCTAAACACCCACCCCTGATCATACTGAGGATTTCGGAGGTAGCATACCTGTCGTCCTCCTGCCTGAGGTATGTGTGATGCTGGTATCACTGACTTTTCTCCGAAAACTCCAGTTTATCGTGCGATGGTATAGGCTTTCGTTTTATGGTTGCAAATTTTGGTCGAGTACCCCGGTTCAGTTCAGTTTGAACAAGCCTTAACCACGCACTTTCGTGCGCCGGTTTTGGTTGCCCATTTGGATGAATAATAAGAGAAGATAGGAAAGTTGAAGGCAGAGTCGAACAGAAACTGGAGAAGTTCAGTGGTCTAAGTTTGCAAAAAACATGGGAAGATGCAAGAACGCCACTGTTTACGACTCCCAGCCATATCATTCAGTGTANTATCTAACCGTCGGGTACGATCATCCCGAGGTTCCCAGCCAAGGAGCCTAACGGGACCTATATGACCCAGATTCCTGGTTAGGGTTTTCATACCCTCGTGCCAGGTCTTAGCTTGGCCACCTTGGGCATTTTCCACCCATTACCTGTATCGGCGACCATCGCTCGCCGGAGCAACCTGTTTGGAGACATGCGTAATACATGCCCCAAACAACGTAATCTATGGAGGTCGACCACTTGCTCCAGCGAGCGACCGCAGTTGCCTGAAATTTTTCGCCTGACCTCAGCATTGCTCGTCCGGCTGCCCCACCAGATTCGTGCAATGCAACGTAAACAGCGGTGTTCAAACATCGACATTCTATCTTTGTCCTGTTTTCTTTGTCCAAGTTTCTGCGCCGTACTGGCCGAACTGCTGCAGCATACACTCAACCCTTCACAGACAGCCAGACGTCGCGACGACGTCACAGATGTCTCAAGTTGGCGAATGTCAACCGAGCATTTTGTATGCGAGCAGACACTTCATCCGTGGTGCGTCCACCGGGTGAGATGTAACTACCCCAGTAACAAAACGTATCCACTTGCTCTATTCAGAAAAACTTGCAACTTATCTGGATATCCACTTTGCAGCACAATGTCGTCTGCATACTCTAGATCTGAAAGTATCCCACCTGGGAGTAAATCGATATCGCTATCCTCGCGCAAGGATAGGGCTGTTTCAAGAATTAAATCTATGAAAAAGTTGAATCGAAACAGAGAGAAAGGGCAACCGTCGAACACCACTTTCGATAGTGAACTCGGGTGGAAAAGTGTCGCAAGCTCGGACTTGACTTCGGCTATTAGTATCGAGCGATTGTAATATTGAAATAAGCTTTTCGTGCACACCCTTCAGGGAAAGGCAGCACTAGGATTTAGAGCCTTCGACTGAGTTGAAAGCTGCTTATAGGTGGAGGAAGATGAAATTGGTGGGGATACGAAACGAGTGCCTGTGTTCTAGGATTTGACGAAGAGTGAAGATGTGGTCAATACCTCGACCAGGTCTAAAACCAGCCTGGTTCTCACGTGTGCAATCTTCACGTGCGGAAAGCAATCGACGGAGTATAATACCGGCGAGAAGTTTAGAGGCTATGTTGATTAAATTGTCTCCTCTGTGGTTTTCACAATAGGACCTGTCACCCTTCTTGTAAATGGGTATGACTACCGATTCACACAATTCAGCTGGAACCTCTTCCATCTCCCACACTGAACCCAGGAGTTTTGTTAACCCCGCCGGGACCGGAAGCTTTATGTCTTTTGAGATAATTTATTTCTCGGATAACCCCCATTTCAAATGGAGGACTAACATCAACTGGCAGTATTTGCCCAATCAAGGTGGAGGGTGGAAAATCAGATGTCGATGGGGGCCGATGGAACTGAGCCTTGAAGTATTTAGCCGCAGTTAGAGTACGGTGAGTACGGTTAGAGTACACTGATGACATCGTATGTCTGTTTGAAACTATGGAGGATGCGCAAAGCGCTCTTGACAAACTTTCAAGCTCTGTAACTCCTTTCGACATGCGCTTTACACTTCAAAGTGCAATGTATTGCCACAAGACTGGGTGTCGTCTACCCCAGTGCTGAAGCTTGATGGTCAGGAATTAACTGTAGTGGAATGTTTCACCTTCTTAGGTAGCTGTGTTTCAAATGACGGTAGCGTAGTCGATGAAGTAACCACCCGCATTTCCAAGGCTGGAGCAGCCTTCGCAGCACTGAAATACCTCTGGTGCAGACGCGATGTTTTGTGGAAACTGAAAGGTCGTGTATACTGCGCCAGTGTGTGGCCAGTTCTACTCTGTGGTTGCGAGACCCTAAATTTGCGCGAGGAAGATATTCGTCGTCTTGAAGTATTCGACTGCAGATGTTTACGTAGTTTGGCGCGGGTGGGATCGAGCGAGCTTGTAAACAACTCTGAGGTGAGGCGTCGCTTATTTGGTAATGTTTCGATGGAGAATTCGTTGTCCCATCGAATTCAGGTTAGTCGGCTTCGCTGGTTAGGACACGTATTGCGCATGTCCAGCCATCGTCTGCCGCACCGCGCCTTATTCGCAGTTGCGGCTCGAGGTTGGAAGAAACCGCGTTGTGGTCAACAGATAACGTGAATGCGAGGTATGAACAAATGCACAGAGCGATTAGGTAGAATCGGTGTCTTCCGTCTTTCAGGTTGGGGTCCGAAAGACTCTGCAACTGGCTGTTTGGAGACATTAAAGGATATGGCGACTAACCGACAGCGGTGGCGTTCTTGTCATTTCTTATCAGTTCAGAATGCTTGATTTGTATGTATGCCGAGTTCGATTGTGTACTCTGTGTTGAACATAGAGGTTCTTTTTCTTTGCCCCCCTCCAAGTTGGCCCAATCCCTGTCTATCTTGTGGTTTATCACTTGATTTGTGAGCTTGGCAGCGATCAGTGAAGTTCGCTTCACTGTATCTCGTTGTACAGTGGTGTTGATAATGACCCCGGTTAAAATTTCGGCTGATCCTGCAGTTGCGGCATTGTCTTCGAGGGCGCCGTCACATTCGTACAATGTCTGCCCCTCTAGTGTTATTCCGTATCCGGTTCTTTATTTTGGGTGAAGTCCGAAAACAATAAAAGTTAATTGGTAGTTCGGCCGGGGTTGAAAACTGTATTGGAAGGCCCTTCGAAGGTCTCAGTTGAAAGTACATTGAATAACAAATAATAATAATAATAACAATAATAACAATAACAATACCGGACGTGGCTCATCATTAGATTTAATAGTGGAAATGTTTTAAATCTTGTTCTCCTGCATCACTTCGAACGAAAACTACTAAGGTAAAAAAAGAAATCAAAATCCCATGCAAAATGATAACTTGCTTTAGTCACTTATCATTGGTCACAATAAACTCTTCCCTTTAATTCCCATCTTTTCTAGCTTATTCTAATATTGCTGCTTAGTTATTCTCTTGGTAAATGTTTTTTAAAGACTGCTTAGACCATGTGTTTTACGTAGTACTGTACTGTCCTGCAAGCCCATTTCTGTTCGTTTCTACGGAGTTTCAAATTCAGTTCAGTTTATACAACCATTAAGCATGCATTTTCGTGCGACGTCTTTGGTTGCTGTCTTCTGGCTGCCCATTTGGGAGTTTCAAGTACTGAAACACGAGTTCATTTGCATATTTTCACTTTTTAGCTGTAAATGATTTCACTTCCGGTCTGCAAGTGATGGACGTTGAAAGCGTCCGAAGCAACCGGAGTGAGAAAAGTGATCGTTCGCGAAAATCGAAACGACTACAACTTACGATCCATCCTCTGAGCCAGGTTCACACTTCACCCGATGGTCAATCTAAGCTCATGCATCCTGCACGTGGACCGATGTCATCTACACCTGTCGACCCAAGCATGATGCAAAATACAGACCTGAATCTTCGTCCCATGACGCCAAGCAACTTGGCTGTAACACAATCGATGCAACAGCAGCAACGCCCCCAAGGCCCATCTTACTCTATGTATAATTGGATGCCTCCACCAGCTGGAATGCCTATGGGCCCCAACTTTACAGCCTATCCGCAACCTAACCCTTATTCTCCGATGGTCTGGAGCAGTCAGCAGCAGCAACCAATGGCCCCAGCATCTTATCCCCACCAAGTTGGTGCGTTCCCTGGCTCTGGTATGCCTCTACCGAATCCACAACAACCAGTACAATCCATGTCACATACTGGTTTTGTGTCTCCGGTACAACAACTTTACGCTCCTACACCCCAAATGGGTAGCACTTCATCTAACACACAAAGTCCACCTCATACAGAATCCTATCGTCCCGAGTCATCTCAGATTCCCCCACCGATACCCACTCAGCCTCAACCAGTGGCAGCTCCCAATCCAGCACCACAGTCATACGAGACACATCTATCTCATGGAGGACATCACGATGACACTGCCTGGGTAGAGGAAGCTACTGCAGTAACTGGAGCGACGAGCGAAACCGGCTTAAGTGGTGGAGATAACTTGTCGAGATTCGGAGCCCGATTTGGATTGGCCGCATCATTGGGTCTTCAACCGGGTGCCGGTTACGGTATCAGCGGGGCTGCCGCTGCTTTGATCCGCACCGAAGCAGATGAAATTAATGTGTACAGTTGTTCACACGTCCTCGGTCTTTTGGCCTCCACTTTAGTCGCTTTTGGAGCGTTGATTTCACCCGTGCTTATGCTACTGCTGCCCCATTTTCCTTTGCAAGTCGGTTGGGATACAGAAGCTTGCCAACCAACTTGTGAGGGTCATCTAATAGGGATTTCAGTGAAGCTCGTGCTGCTTAGCCTTGCAACTTGGGTTTTAAGCTCACCCTGTCGAGCATTGTGTGCNGGAACAGCTATTCTTCCACGTGTGCGACTATGCCGTACGCTCTTCCTCTGTCTAGTTTTTGTGGTCTTGTTTGCTTTTTGGTTGTTCTACACTGTTCGTGTGATCCAGCCCCGTGAACCGGAGTACTTGTCTATTGTTCTGTTTGCGGATAGTCTAACGGATACATTACTTTTTCTACACTACGCGGGGATCGGGTTGATGGAGCTACGCAAAACAAGACACCGATACGCAATCCATATTGTTCGATCACCAGATGGTATGTCAAAAACTCTCAAATGCGGAGAAATGTCCTTGCAACGCGCAGCACTCGAAGTGCTCCAGTTTTATATGATCGAATTTACGGTAAGTTTGGTATGACTTTCTTCAACATCTCACAATGTTTTTGATTCGATGATGCTATGTTGTTTTCAGTCTTCGGAATCCAGTCATTTTCTGCAATGTTGGGACCCCGGTAGTAGGTGAAAACATGGTTAGTGGGGCGGCTGTATTTCCCCTGTTAATTCTGAATCACTTGGAAAACAGAAAATCCTTTTATAATACCAAACTATTAGGAGCAAATTACGCAAACTTATTGCTCACTGCACAAATTGCGCTGAAGCTACTGTCCCTGTGCTTCGTTGTGATGCCTGTTACGTATCTTCGTCTCAGCATGTCTCTCAAGGTCGTGGATAAGAGAACGATAATTTGGGTGATTAACCGTGAAGTATTACTTCACAGAATAATCAGTACCCGAACAGCAGGTCTTCGTTACTATACAGTCCACCGCGTCTGCTGCTCATCACACGTGTGTAATAAAAAAGTGGAGGATGATTGATGCTGTTGCTTATGGACGTGATTGATATTGTCCTGGCGAGCGTTCCCTCCGCAACAAAAAGATACGAGTGCTCGTGGGAAGTATTACTGCGTTTACGAACCCGGCCCACCATCCAGTAAAAATCGTCTCCATTGCCCTGTTGCTTTGCACGTAGCTTGAATATTCATTTCACCATTCCATGTAAAGTTTATTTGGTTTACTCTTTTTGCTTTCTTCACTCATTTCTATCAAAAAAATTCCTTAGAAAATTCACAGAAATGCGGTATTAAAGGCGTCTCTAGCCGTTTGGTATGTTACACCATTGTTTTTATGGTATTCAGAAACACAGCCTCTGCACAGGAAAATGAATGAAATCACTGGAAAGAAGTGAGTGGTATTACTAGCGCTTCTTGTATCATGAACTTAAATCACTTCA